TCAAGTCGACAGCATAAGAAAAGAAGAGAGAGGAAAGAAAAAAGAAAAAGAAATTTATATATCGTGATTGTCAATATTTGCAGTTCGCATAACAACAATAAGACGTTTTCATTTCTCCGTGTCTGTTGCTTCGTTTTTTTTTCTTTTATTGCTTCTATCGGAAGACCGGCACAACCGTGTCTCTATAGATATAGATTCACTTGAAAAGAACATATGTGTAAGAACATCGCATTACAAAACAAGACAAACAACACATAAACATAGATATAGATAGATATATGTATGAAGAAAAAAATGACACACATTGTTCGAAGAATAAAGGGGAATTGAAACAAAAAAATGCTTATGGAGGATGGCAAAAAAAAACAAAGTAGTTGAAGAAGAAGAAGAACGAAATACAATATAGACAAAAAAAAAGAGAGGAAATGGCAGGTTTTTTTTTGATTCTTCAGATACTCACAACAACAAAAAATAGATAGTATAAATATAAGAAGTCTTAACTCGATTAATATTTAAATATTTTTTTTACTTTTTTCTAATAAGAAAAATTGTAGAGAAAAAGGACGAAAAGAAAAAAGAAAACAAAAAATAGAAATAGAACAAAGGACATGGCGATGTAATGGATCATTCTCACAGTTAAACATAGACAAAAAGAAAACAAATAGTGAAGAATAAATAGTTCTAATAGACACGGAAAAACACACACACCCACACAAAGCATATGCAATATGCATCGTCATCATCTGACTTAAACTAAAGGATATTGACGACGAACAGATCTTGTCATAAGAGATAAGAAAACAAAGACATGATTTGCCTATAATATGAACGAGACAACAACAAACTATGTGAATAAATATTGCCTACATAGAAAAAGAAAAAACGAAAAGAAGTAAAAATGTGTTTTATTTCTTTTGTTAAATACTTGAAGAATTATATAGTGTTTGTTCATTTTTAATTTATCAAGATGAATTAATAATAGCCCGTTTTGGTTCAGCTGTTTTATAGAAGACATTTTTCACTAATAAACACCGGGGACTTACATATAATGGACTACGTTCCTTAATTTGTCGAAACATTTTCATTGATGGTAAAATTCGTCTCAATGTAAATATTTTCGTATCTTCATGTAGATCTATTTCAATTTCAAATGTTGTCTTTTGTTTAGGATTAATTTGTATAATTGGTAAATATTTTGTTATTGTTGTTGTCATATTTGGTGATAAAAGTGTTAACTTGATTTTAATTTGTGCACCCATAATACCAAATGGTTCTTCAGCAGACATAATTAAACATTGTCTTGCGATGTTTCGTATATGATTACATGGAATAAATAGATTGTCACATGATAAATGTTTGATTTTACTTTCACGTAATGTTGATAATAAACGTTTAGCAACAAGTGATAAATGTTCTTCACGTAAATCAAGTTCAGGATCATAA